TGTAAATGGTCAAATTTTTCCATCTTCAAGGCACTCAAAGCACTTTACAACAAGGAACCACTCACCTATTCACACACCAGTGTACACAGACACTGTGGGTTAAGCGTCTTGCCCAAGGACACAAGGACAGCATTCATCTGTGGGAGCTGGAATCACACAGGCCAACCTGTGGGTCAGTGGATCAGTCCTAGTTCAGTCCGTACCCGGTGCAAAAGTTTGGCATTGCAGTCACGGAAATCACGTAAACGGGAAACGGCCGTTATCCGTTTTTTCCATTCTTCATTTAAACACAAAATCAAAAACTGAAAAAATGAATCGTTATACGTTTTTTCATTTTGGTTTTGGAGACAAATAGCGAAGAAAACTGTTGTTTTTTTCTTTTCTTATTTTTGGTTTTATATTGAAAAACAAATGAACGAATGATACACGGATTCATCAGCATACAGCGACACTGAGTGTGAAGATATACCTACGGTGACTGGAGATATTTGTGGACAATTTCTAATTAGCTGTGCCAGTGGTTGAATACACAAATTGAACACTGTCTACTTCCTCTACCAATTTGAAACAATTCAGATAAGTCCCCTCCTATACAGACCCTTGCTGATAGGTTAGAATATAGTGCTTGGATCATACCAATATACTTACTGTCAAAATTTAATTCTTTTAAAAGTCTCCACATATATGTCCATTCTAGGCGATCAAACGCCTTTTCTGCATCTAAGAATAACAGCCCACAGGCTGGGGGTATCTTGTGTGATGAACTGAGTATATGCAACAGGCGGTGAACATTATTGGAAGGAAAACAAAGTTTTAGGAAACCTGTTTGATCAGGATTAATTATTTTTCCTACCACTTGCTCCAATCTATTAGTTAAACCTTTGAGAAGATTTTTATATCAGCATTAATTAATGAAATTGGACGATAATTTGTGCATTCAAGATGGTCTTTTCCTGGTTTTGGTATAACAGTTAACAGGGCTGTATTGAGGTCATGATGAAATGAGCCAATATTAATTGCATGATTTATTGCCTCCAGCCAAATTGGGCCCAGAAGGTCCCACAGTTTATGGTATATTTCGACTGGAATTCCATCAATTCCTGGCGTACGGCCTTTCTTGGTACTTTTAACTGCTTTTATAACTCCTCTAATGTTATAGGTTCATCTAAACTTTCAGTTTCCTCTACTGTTAAGGTTGGGAGGTTGAGGCCTGCAAAAAATTCATCCAAGTCATTTTCCGAAAGTGCTCCACCACTAGTACAAATTTTCAAAAATATTCCTTAAACATTTTGTTTATGTCTTCAGTGGAGGTTAATATTCCCCGCTGAGTACATCTAATGGCTGAAATAGTTCAGTTAGTTTCCTGTTGTTTCAAAGTTAAGGCGAGGAGATGACTTGGTTTACTACTTTCTGAGTAATATCTAGATCTTGTCACCCGCATCATATATTCAACCCTAATTTGTAATAAATCATTTAGCTCTGCTTGCTTGGATTTGAGAGCACTTGCTTTAGCCACAGTATGATCTCTTTCAATGTCCCTTTCCAGATTTTTACATTCTTTTTCTAAATTCGAAATTTTTTGCAATCTATGTCTATGAAGATTTGAGCTAAACTGTATTGCCACATTTCGGATACATTCTTTAACTGATGCCCATATTAATGTCTTATCCTCAATTGTACCCTTATTTAGAGCGATAAATTCAGATAACTGAGCCCGCATTTGTTTCAAGAATTCCTCACACTTCAGAAGAGTAATATTACATCTCCATCTGCTATTTTTATTTTTTACCATGCTATAGTTAAAGGTTGATATTATTGGGTTATGGTCTGATATGTATCTTGGTAAAATCTCTACTGTCCTAGTTGAGGGTAAGAGACTAGTAGACACTAGAATATAGTCGATGCGGGAAAATGTTTTGTGCCTCGCTGAATAGAAGGTAAAATCCTTTGCGGATGGGTTATGTATTCTCCATACATCCTTTATATTTAGGTCTGTCAAAAACAGTGTTGAGTGTCTTAGAAGCTTGTTTTGGTGTTTCAACGGACAACTTCTTGCCGTTGTATTTCACCTTAAGAATCGCTGGGTAAACCAGGAACATCTCTATTCCTCTTCTCGGAAGTTTGGCCCGTATATCGTTAAATCCGCGTCGCTTTCGGCTTGTTGCTGTGCTGTAGTCTGGGAAAAACCACAACGGAGTTCCGTCTGGTAGAGTTGGCTTGGCTTTCCTCGCTCCCTCCATTATATCTTGCCGGTCTGTGTAGCGTAAGAGACGGAAGATCATAGTCTGAGTAGACCCGGTGAGCTCTGTGGATTCCCACCTCAGATCCATGGGGGCCGCCCAGCGACGGAATCCATGTGGACAGCATCCTCTGTAAGTACCCCCGGGCGTCACCACCTTCTATCCCAGTTGGCAAATTTATAAGCCTCAAATTATTTCTCCTGTTTCTATCCTCTTGCTGAATCAAATCTTCACGCAATTTTGTTATTTCTTCCATACAATGTGCGGTGTCAGCTTGGTTCTTTTTTAGGTTAGCTTGAATGCTGTCGACTTTGCCAAAAAACAGTAGTGAACTTCTTAGCATGAGAGTCCATCTGTTCCACCAGTGACCACAAAATGCCACAGTTTTCGGGTCAAAGTTTTTTCAATGGGAGCAAGAGACTCCTTAATAGAACTTTTTATCTGTTGGGTGACGTTCTCGTTCAAAGTTGTCATCTCGACAGCCAGCATTTGCTTAATCAGCGCAGCGAGCTCCTCCGTTAGCTCTGGTCGGGACTGTTTGCTGCCACTAGCATCTTGTTTTTTCACCGAAGTTTGTTCTCTCCTTGACGACATTGTTTTCACTAATTAAAAGTGCACCTCCAATCTATTCAAAAAACTTCATGGGGTTTACAAAATACATGAAAAAGTACGAGTTCGCTCGGAGCTCAGCACACTGCCGCCATCTTGCCTCGTGCCTCACCGGAAGTCCTCAGATATAGATTTAGTTTTAGGCCAGCAGAGAAGGACTTGCAGGCCCTGATGGCCCACCACTACTAGAGTATGTAGGTGACCCATTTCACTGGGTTGTGTGAAAGGATTTCACCCACACCATTGGGTAAACCAGACATAAGACGGGAAAATGTCCATCATCATGTTACATTTGAAATGACACAACTATGACCCAGATTGTCGACTGAGTGTTTGGGTTCAGCAAAACAAGCCAACTCTGTCAAAATAACCCCAAAACTCAACAGCCCCAACCCAGCAATTTTTTAGGGTGTAGAAAAGTCAA